AACAGTGGCAGTACAGCAAACAGTCAAGTGATATTTACGCGCATCTACATATTAAATGCTTTTAACAGTGCCAAATAATACGGTTATAAGCCACCCGCCAATACACCAGTTGGCTCCATAGCGCTGTGGGCTCGCTAACGTGGTATGTTTACTTGCCAAGCATTCAAATTTCAAACGGCTCACACAGATAACCGTTCCTCACTAATACTCGACTTTCGGTTCGAAAATTTTGGAGACCAAACATCATCCACAAGCAACAATCAGCTAATTTGGGCCCTTAAAAAAATACTCTGGAACCTCAAAATTTGTGGAAAAAACCCCACGAAACTTTATAAACAAATAAAACTGAATGGAAAAAAAAGATAAATAATACTATGGGTGGAGCAACTGAAATAGAAGGAGAGCGATAGGACCACTTACGGCCATGTAGCATTGAACTCAGTCCGGAAACAGGCATGGAAAATAAATACGGCAGAAAATAACATAGACACATATACGAGAACAGTAGTGGAAAGGACAGAAAATGAATTGTGACAGCCAACGAACACTAGCAAAATGACAGCGAAAATCGCACCAGTGGTTCAATCAGTACCCAGAACAATGCATTTAACACGGAAATGAAGCTCATTCGCCTGCGCTTTTCATAGATCTTGTGAAAAGTTCGCCAACAATCAAAGGAATTTCACAGAAATGGTCTCTCCTCATCTCTCAGCACTGCGGCATCTCTCGTCCACAGCAGTAACTAAAAATTTGAAACCACTGAAGTTAAAAAACGAAAAAAAAACATCAGTAACACTATGCCATAAAAAAGTGGCCGATGACAATCATACAAAAAAGAATGCAAAAATGAAGAACACTGCATTCCAGGGCTCCAGCAAAATCATGCAATTTTTAAAAATTGGCCAACGCACGGGCTGCACGTGGGAAGATGCGTTTTTTGCATGGTCCCCCGCAGTTTTTGTAGCTACCGGCACCGGTTTTTTCGGCAAATGCTTCTAGCTGAACAAACTAAGATTGGCCACCAGAACTGTCAGAAAACATTCCCTTTAAAATTTCAACTGTCTAGCTTCCCTGGCACCTGAGTTAGCAACTTACTGGAACAAAATTTTCATAGGCTCGTGCACGTTTACCAGGCATACGCTGAATGAAACTTAGGTGGACGAGGTATATCCTCTTAAAATTGCATTCCTTTAGTTTCTCAGGTACTCGAGTTATCAATTTACACGGAAAAAACTTTGGCGGGTCCGTATGTGGGTACCACGCTTACCCACTGAGCCCACTAATACCCGTTTGGGTGGGGAGCATTACCCCAAGTTTTCAGCCTTCTAGCTTCTTAGATCCCCGAGTTATGAGCTTGCGCGGGAAAAATTTTAGGGGGCCCGTACGCGAGTACCACGCTTACCCGGGGGCTGGAATTGAGCCCATTAGCACCTGCTTGGACGGGGAACATTACCCCAAGATTTCAGCCTTCTAGCTTCTCAGATCCCCGAGTTATGAACTTATCCGAAAAAAATTTTGGCGGGCTCGTACGGGGGTACCATGCTTACCCGGGGGCTGGGTTTGAGTCCACTAATACCCGTTTGGGCGGGGAACATTATCCCAAGACTTCAGCCTTCTAGCTTCTCAGATCCTCGAGTTATGAACTGACCCCGAAGAAAATTTGGCGGGCCCGTACGCGGGTACCACGCGGGTTTTGGCGTCAATTTTGGGGATGGGGGCCCATACGTGT